GTATATTACTTGTGTAGCGTAGAAGATAATTAACTATGAATGTAATTATGTAGAATGTTAACACACTAATAATTCTGTAGTATATTACTTGTGTGGTGTAGAGGATAATTATTTATCTAGAGATATTGCTTAGGATTTAAAAGTTGTAAAATGATGTCATGGGGTAGGACTAGATAAGTCTGACTTCTTCCTACTCCATTCAAGCATGTACTAGGTATAAGTAAATTGATATTGGATTATTATTGTTGGATATGTGTGAAATTACATGTGTTGACATAACTGTTTTACACGCTTGAATGAATAAATCAAATCAAATCAAATCAAATAAGGGCTGTGCAATAAATTAAATTTTTGGAATAATATACACTCACCGGCCACTTCATTAGGTACACCTGTATGCAATTCAATGCAACACTTCTGCCTTAACATCTGTTTATGAAGCTCAAAATATTTAAATATATAATTGTCATAGTGTTGCAATGAATGGCATACAAATGTACAGGTGTATCTAATGAAGTGGCCGGTGAGTGTATAGTCAAACTGTGCTTCAAGCTACAGGGGACAAATGAGTGAGGCCAATACATCAGCTGGGAATAGTTTATGAAGACCCATCAGTGTCTGTGTTTATTATGCTGGCCTTACACTGGAAGACTATGATAAGACTCCGAAAAGACAAACGACTAAATCTGACACCCTCTCACATCTAAAGACTGCCTCATTAGTCATTCAGAAGTTTAGTCATAGACCATGACTCTGCAAAGACTGGGGATTTTGCAATGTCCCTATTTGCAAGACTGCAACTAGATTTCTCTTGAGATTACTTCCCATCATGCCCCTGATGGGAAGCTACAAGAAGAAAGAATCAAATGGAGCAGACACCACCTTTTCTAGTTCTCCACTCTATCAGGGTACAATTTGGATGACATGCCAAAGAGACACTCTTGCTCACTCCACAACTCCACCAGTTTATCCTCCCTTGTAACAGTGCAATGGAACCGTGACTTCTGATACCTCACTGAGTCTCCGTCATAATTACCACTGTTTCTGTGCCCGCTATGCTGCTTCCTGTTTAGTGCTGGAAAGAGCTCGCCTACTGGTTGTTTACGATGCTCATGTCACTTCATAAGCCAAGAATAAAGACATGATAATATTTAAACATGGTTGATTTTATTGGAACGTCAACATGAGACATAGAGCGACTTAAACCAGCTCAGATAACCACCTTACACCAAAAGATTGAGATAACGGGAGTGCAACACGACTGTAGCAAAACTCTCATGATTTTATCAGACATCAGAAATGTGTCTGTGACACTGAAAAGTTGTTAGGCATAACTCCGGCATTATATGATAAATAAACTGCAGTAGAGAAGCACCAGAGACAACCGTGTCAACAACGTTCAGTGTTCCACTCAGTCCGTATCATAGACACACTTTTAGAAAACAGATTTACATGATCTTTGTGAAAAGTTTGCTTGTGAATGTAGAAGAAATTCATTGTTGAGTTTCTGAAAATCTCATTAATATCACATCAAACTAAAAAAAAATTCTGTCTTAATGACTGTGTTGTTGCTGCTTTACAAAATTCTCTTCAAAAGTAATATTTATAAGCACATTATTAACAAATGAGAAGAGTTTCACTGGATCTCGTGGAAGAGTGGAACACAATTCATTGCATTGAACTTTGATTCTTTAATGTGATTTGTTTTCCAGATTTTACATTTTCCTTGATACTTGTATGGCTCTTTTTTGTTTTTTATACTTTTGCCTTGAAGAAAGAATGTTTAATTTCAACTCAGTCTGTAATGAGTTCATGTATAGCCTTAGTCAAGCAACACAAATTGTATGGCAATGCCTTGCAGTTTTAACTGAGAAAACAATCACAGATGATTGATGATGAAATAGTTGTTAGTCTGAAACATTTGAACGTGAACTACTTTTATACACCTATATATTACTACCATATTGTGAAATATACTGTAAAATTTATATTTTTTTCTAATTCTTGATATGTATTTCAGATCCCACAGCTCCATTTCAGATGATGGTTTATTAACCTCTAATATTTTCATTCTTCTCTTAAATCATTACAGTGTGACTGCTGACATAGCTACCTATTCCTGGGTGAAATGCACCAAAGCCTTTTTTTCCTCTTTATATGAATAACAGCTTCAGCGGTCTGTCCCTGGGGCAGGAGTGAACTGAGTCCAGAGCAGTTCACTAGTTAACGCTCTCTACAGCTAGGAGGGGACCACTGAGCTGTCCCTCTGTCATACTGCCTCTGTCCTTCTGTCCCTCTCCCCAGCTAGCATTCCCACATGGTACCAGAGCTAGCTGAGATGAGATGCAGCCATTCTGGAGGGAAAGCACCATGGAGAGTCACAAATTATAAAAACAAACATGATATTCATGCTGAGTTCACATCCAGAGAGCTAAATGTTTCTCTGCTTTGATGAAAAACCAGCAGGGACCAATGTCATCAGTGGTTTAATTGTGGCTGTAAATCAGTCCTCATGGTAACCTAAGAAAATAAACTGCACTTTTTTCCATCTTGCTCTCATGTGGTTTTGCTGTGATATGGATCACTCTTGTCCACAGCACTGTTTTATATTGAAAATCTTCCTATACATGTGGCACTTATGGATTTTTTTTAAATATCTAAAGAAATATATTTAATATACTGCCTTAAGAAGATCTGAGTATGCCTCATTAAAACAAACAAAACTAGCTTTTACTTCAGGCAGTGTGGGATATTTAAGAGAGAAATAAATTCACTGAGTTTATGGTGTTTCCCATCGAAACAGAGCAGATGCAGGAACATCAGGTATTATAGTAGGATTAATGATCAAATTAGAGCTGAAGTGATTAGTCAGTCAACAGAAAATTCATCTATAACTGCTCATTATTTCAGTCTTTTTTCTAGAATAAAGGGCAAACATTTGCTTGCTATAGCTCCTACAGTGTGAGGATTTGCTGGGGTTTTTTTCATATCACTGTAAACGGAATATCTTTGGGTTTTGGATTAGTGGCTGGACAAGTGAAGATATCACCTTGAGCTCTGGGGAACTGTTTTAGTTTCCCAGAAATGATCGGATTTGTGTCACAGACTGACGCAAACTCTTTTTCCAACTCGCCTGCTCATAATTATGGTCTGCACAACACAGTACGTTATGAACAAGGCATAATAATGTTATTATAAGTTAGCTAATGGTAAGAAAGCAAAACCACAGATTTAGAGACTAAGAGTTTCTTTTTAGGTGATAGGGAGACAAAAGGTCCAATTTGTACTTTAATACTCAAAAAGTTGACCTTTATTTTGGTTGTGCCTGCACGGACACTTCCCTCCCTCAACCAGTGTGCAAAAGACTGGCAACGCTGTTGTAGAGAATGCCTAGATGTTCTGCAGTACCATTAAACTGTAGCTTCTGTAACACAATGTACAAGTTAATTCCTCTCAGAGGGCCAGTGAAGCAGTCACAACACAGCATGATATATAAAAAATTGCACAAGCTTTACTTCTTGGTTAAGCCATCCCTGAAGATGACTCATTATTTTCCTGCAGGTTTACAAACAATTAAAATGGAATGAGTGAGAATGATACTCAGTGCTGCCCTCCCCCGTGATTCAGACAATTTGACCATGTGTAAAATTTTCATGGGCTTGTTTCTTTTTTATGGGCCTGCTTGTTATAAGTCAGAATAGGATCCAATCAACTGGTGTTATCAAATCTTTGTTCGGGTTGATGTGATGGCCATATTAAGACTAGTATAGCAGAAAATTAAACAAACAAGGTGGTCTTGGCTGGGTCGGCACATGCACTATTAAAGCAAATGAGATGCTGATTTTAAACAGGTTTTATCACATCACTTGTATTAAATAGCTTTGAGGCCTTTATTGTTCACAGTAGAAACAGCAGCTTGGCCAACAAATGGGTCACTGGACGCTCTAATAAGAATGACACACAGCAGTTGTAATGTACAGGCTGCTACACATATAGTTCTGGTGTTATACTGGACAGCATATTTTTCTTTAGCCCTCACATGAACAGTGCCTCAGGTACTGCCTGTTTCCATCTATGCAATATATCCACACTACATCCTGTCCCTCTCATGTCATAGCACTCCACTTCTTATACACACTCTTATAACATCTCCAATTGATTATTACAGCACCGTCCTCTGAGATATCCCCAATAAATGTCGCCATCGGCTTTAAATCATACAAAATCCTGCTGCAAGAATCCTTACCCGCAACAAGTCCACTGACCATGTCACACCTCCCCTTATCCAGCTTCACTGGCTCCCTGACAACGGATTCACTATAAGATTCTACTACTTTCCTTCAAATCTCTCTATAATCTGACACCACTATCCCTTTCTGACCTTCACCATCCTCACAACCTTCTCATTCCAACTGCTTTGCTCTCCACCCCTGTTTTTAGACTCTGCCAGAGCCTTCAGCTGCTCTGCACCAAGACTTAACAGTAAGGATTCACAACTGCTATTCGCCAGCTGGACACTATTGTACAGCTCATAACACATCTGTTTAAATTAGCAGATTCTTTATACAGTAAATCATGTCATTCTTTTCATTCAGCTTTTTTGCCATGTTTCTGCTGCTGTGTGCTTTAATTCTTCATTGTTAATGTTTCTTGCTTTCCTGTGTGTTTTGAAAGGTGCCAACAAATGTAATTGATTATTATTCTATAGAAAATCTGTTAATGTCAAGTGTCAAAAAAGGCTAAACTGTACGTGTTTGGTGTTTGCCTCTTGCAGTTGTACATCCAAACAACCACGCTGACCATCTCTGTGAGCCTGAGTGCTTCAGTGTCCCTTGGGTTGCTCTATATGCCCAAGGTCTACGTGGTTCTCTTCCACCCTGAGCAGAATGTGCCCAAGCGCACACGCAGCCTCAAGGCTGTGGTTACTGCTGCCACCATGTCCAATAAGTTCAACCCCAAGGCTGGGCTCAGACCCAACGGAGAAGCCAAAACCGAGCTGTGTGAAAGCCTCGAAACACAAAGTAAGAACATGAATGCTAATGAGGAAGTCTTTGACTAAACACCCACTGTTTTTTTTTTTTTTTTTATTCTTAGTTTTGTTTTCTCTTCAGGCACGGTTTGTCCTTCAGTGTCTGTAAATCAAACTAACTAATGCACAGATAGGAAACAGTAAAAAAAAATAATTACTTAGCATGTTATTTGACACTTCATTGAATTCAGTAAATGTGCCTCTGTTGTTCATTTGGGTGGATGGAGTGGAGTGGATATTGTTTGTGAGTCAGGAGGAAGCATTACAGGATTCTCAATTATGTGTGCAGAGGGTGGAGTTGTGGACAAATGGATTGTCAAAACAGAACATATTTGGCAGATCAAAATGCAGCTATTCTGTTTCAGTAAACCTTAAAACATTCCAAGTCAAATTATCATTGAAAAAAGTCCTAAATAATTTTTCTACATTAGACAGAATATTTATAAATACTAGTTACTAGTTATAAAATGTTTTGTCTGTGATTTTAGCAAATAATTTCCTCAAAACTTTGACCTAATGTATATGGGCCATTTTTAATCGGCTAATCCAGTCATTTATTCATACATTCATTTTACGGCTGCTATCAAGGTCATGTGCAATGATTAATTCATTATATTACCAGGAATTATTGTTCTAAACTGCTGGAAAATATTGATCCAGCGATCCATTCCATGCTTTGATTTTACAACTTTACCAGATTTTTTTAAAAAGTAAAAGGACCTTCATTTTAATTTGGTTTAAGTCATAGCTGCAGCCAGAGTTTGAACAATCAATAATCAAGGGGCATCTGACTCATCTTTCTAAAGCAGCTGAATCTCTCACAATGTCTGCATCCTCCTAATCTCAATACCGATAAAAGTGTTCAATGCTTCTGTATCAGTGACAGAATCTGGGTTTACAAGTGAGGTAAATAATGACTTCAGCAACTAATCAGCAGAAATGACTTGTGACGTCCCAAATGCTCTTCCTCTGCTTTCATTGGGCCGGGAAAAGCTTTTAATCGATCATGTCCATCAACAGAGTTATACTACCTCTCTGGCCTGTACTATTATATACAAATCCCATCTATTGTCATGCATTTTAAAGCTGTACTTACTCCTAACTTTTCATACCAACAGTAGTGAGAAATGATTCCTGCCATAGGAAAATAAAGGAGCTGACACTGAATTTACTGTTAATGCAAAAGCAGAAATCAATATAAACTGTACGACAGTGCATTGTAATGGCACGGTGTTGTGAGGCCCATCAGAATAGCTACACATATACACACAAAGCAACATTAATTCCTATCTTTTTTTAAGTTTCAGTTCAGGTTTATTAGGGCCTTGTGTTAGAATAAGTGGTGAGAAGGCAGATGCAGAATTGATAGCCAGCAGCAACTTAGCCTGATGGTGTTTCCATTTACAAGGGCTGTACAGTGTATGGCTATTTGAATAAGCACTATTTGTCATTGTCATCGCCAGTGCGGATATATGGCGTGATGAAATTGAAAAATTCCAGTCCAGGCCAGCTCCCACAACTACCGAGATATGGTGGCAATATGTCAGGATTTATCTGCTCCACCTCGGTGAATAAGCCAACACGGTCTGGGGAGACAACTGCAAAGTTGAGGCCAAATAGCTAAAGGAAAAGGTGGTGGTGGTGGGGAGGGCAGTGGGCTTTACTGAACACCCCCCCCCCCACACACACACACACATCTGCTGTAGGTAAGAGAGGGTGTGTATAAAATGTGGCCAGAGTGCCACAGAATTTTAAGCATTGCCGTAATTTTTGCTACACTGCAAAGAACTAGTCAGCAACTGACAACAGGGCCGAATAAATACACTTAAGTGCTTAGTCTTCCTCATCCCATAAACTGTAATAGTTTACCTTGACACTATGTTGTCTCTCAGTCTCCCCTCTCATTCTTCTCTTTCAGATTTCCCAACAAAGCAAACCTACATCAGCTACAGCAACCATGCAATCTAAGGTATGAAGGTTGTTATCACAATTCAGGATTTCCACCTTGACAGAAAGAAAAGCATGCAGTGGAATTTCACTTACGGTCAGAAAAACGTGGACATGTGAGTGTATGGGTGGAGACCACAGAAGCATTGCCAAAAGACATAACATGGCCAGGAGACACAGCAAAGTGATGCAGGACAAAACAAGTGACCAGAACAGAAAACAGTATAATTATAAGGTTCCATCTTCTGTCTGCCTCACAAGAATAAACACAAAAAAAGAAAAATGAAAAATATTTGCATGGCAGAGGCCTGGAGACTGAAGGATGGAGCTTTCCTTTTGAGTGTTTACATTTAAGCTATGCCCTCGTTCTAAGACTTCTCTGTCACATTGAGCAGCACTGACTGAAACTGAACTGAAATCAAGAATATGTTCAGGTGTTCTTAATGTCATCTGCCAGTTTTGCTAACTGTAATTAATCTTAAAATCCTCAAGGCATCACAAGAGATTAATCAACACCAAAAAGGCATGAAAACACGGTTCATGGATTTCAAAAAGGGTTTTGTGTTTGTTTTTCTTTATAAATGTGCTCTCATGAGTCAAACAACTGGAAATCTGATCATCTCAACAATGCAACAGTTTTGTACCAGAATCCATGGGGGTTTTATTTCCTCTTTCAGGTTTCTATTGAGTTACTAAGGACTACACGTATAGGATGGTCTCTGCCAATTTTGAGCATGCCAGTTTCAACATCCTGTGTTGTGTTGTTAAAAAGAGTTAAGAAAAAAAATCTTTGGAATGCATTTAAACTCTGTTGCAGCGTTGTTAACAATTGTTTGGGCCTGAGCCTATTGTATGTTAAAACCTGTTCTCAAATGGTGAAGGTCTAGTGAGTGATTGTTTTTCTGTGCTTAAGTGAGGCCATGATTTGTACTACCAGCTAGCCCAAGGCTGCCACTGCCCTCCGTGTACCTGTATGTGCTTTGAAACAGTAGCTCCTGGTTAAAATAAACAGTATTTTAACCAGGAGATTGTACTGTAAGCTCTCATCCGAGATGACCCTCCACATCACTGCCACCAGCTACACTCTTGGTCACATATAGCATAAGGGTAAAGCTTAACTGTACAGATCCATTAGGAGGGGAATTAAGATGAAGTTTGCCCTTGAGAGGATTGTGCAAAATGTCCTAAAGGTGATATCCATAATGGACCATCTACAGAGAAAACGCGATCACCATACATGTCCTCCTCAGGCACCCTCATGATAAGTAGGAGGGGACAGGAAGTTGTAAGGCTTTTCGACAAATGAAAATATAATTGCAAAAGTATACAACATGTCTATCCATCACCTTGAGCTCGCTGAACAGATTAATAGTTGGCTTCAAGCTGTATAAAAGCCCTCTAATGTCTTGGGGAAAACACTGTGGGGTCATTTGTGTTGTGAATTCAATGCTGCTTTTCATGCCTCCCTATGTATTTCTTTCAACACCATTTGTGTTGCAGAATAAAATGCGAGTGCTGACCAAATTAAATGGCAAGTTAATGTATGTTATTAAATAGACTGATGATGTCTGCTTTATGTTCTGACATATCGTAAATTTGGGGAAAAAAGATACAGTGCCTGGCTATCTGACTATGTATTTGTAAAACCTCATGAAAACTACTGAAGTGTGTGAAGCATGTTTAGTTTTTTTATACAAAATTTTTATTTCTATTAAAAATGTTTTCAAACTTCATCTGTTTTAAGGTTTGTGCCATTCAGAATTATCTCCTTCTTTTGTGAGTTAGCTTGTGCTTTTATTTGATCCCTTTGGAGGAAGAAAACAGAAGAACTTTCCCTAACAGGTTATTAGTAATACTTGTCTTGCACTGCATGATGCCTGATTTAAAAAAAAAAGCCACAATGATACTCTAGCAAACTTGGATTATCCTCAGCTAAATGATTGGCAGAACTTAAGTGTGAGTATATGTGTTTTATTCCTGCTATAAGAAAATAATACAGATTAAAAACAGGTTTGTCAGCCCTAAAGAAAAAAAGACAATAGCTGCCATCTCCTGAATAACATGTTGCCACAGTTGCTCTGATAATAGCACTTGGAAGGACAGCGAATTGGTGGAGGGAAACATGAAATTATTTAAAATGAATGGTTAGCTGCTACTTGAATCCAAGGTCTCTGCATGCAGCGAGCTCTCAGGATCCATCATCTTCTCCACGCCTCCCTGGTTCTGTGAGCCCACAATATAAAAGCCTCAAAAATAACAGTTGTTGCTTAGGAAGGGTGTTAACTGCATGCCCGAGTACTAGATTACTGGAATGTGCAGAGTATATATCATCTTCGTATTTCAGAGACAGAATGAGGTGTCCACAGTGCAACAGCCCCGTGAGACTATAAGGTTTTGCATGGCATAGTCCTTTTGACTACTTTTTTCCCTTTCTCTGAACAAATTTAGAAATATGTCATGGCACTTGTCAAAATTAGGAACACACAGTACAGCATTAGAAAATGAAGCAAACAAAGCATTTCAAGTGTTTTTGCAATCACAATCTGAACAAAACAGGAAGTCAATACCATTCTCTTTAGCTCTCAAGGAATATTTCCTGCTCCTGAGAATTATGTACAAAGTCACAAGCTCATGCCAAGACCTTTCAGTTCATCTCCATTTTCAAATGCCTTACCACACATGCTTTTGAAATGCAAAGTAAATAATACAAAAAAACGTGCATTACACCCAGACTGTCCTACTGTACTTATTAACAGCTGGGCTGGTACCATGCAGACTGAGGGACAGGAGACAATCTGACCTGCAAATGTCTCATAAGGAGAGAAACTAATTCAACAGGTTCACTGGGGCCATGACAACACACACAGTGGGTTTTGATGAGAATCATGACTTTAGAAAAAACTCACCAGGGCACTGAATAACTGAATTACTGCTAGGGAAAAAGGAGGACTGGGAAAACCCTGTTCTGATGTGACTTTTTGAAATGATGGCACCACCAGAATTCTCACTGTGCACATCAGTTTTAGTCAGCAGAGACTTGGCTTTTTACAGTATAACTATGGACTGTGGAGAAGACAGGCGAGGCTGTATTATCTCTCCAACAGCTGGTGCCTCTTTGCTTCAGTGATTCTGAGTCTGAAAGCCAAAAATTTTCAATAGACAAAAGAATATTTAGGACAACCTGAGATGCTCTTCGACAGCATGATGGCAAAATACATTCAGCAACAAATCTCTGTGGCCAGTCATAAGGACACGTCTACTGAGGGTTCAAAGCTATCTACTCAACTGTGTAATTGCAGATAGGGAGATGCAAATGCTCAGATAGAGGCTGAGAGGTTTATCCACACAAGTTAATAACTTATATGAACTAAAGACACTACAAGTGTACAGCTCCACTACACTGCTGATTAGCTAGTCTTATGATGTAAAAGCAGACACCAACCCTGACCCGAAAAAGCATTCCTCTTGAGCGCAGGCCCCTCCTCATCATCACTATGCGATCAAAGTGACAATGAAAGCTTCTTCAGATTAGTGGAATAAATTAATTCAAATGCTGCTCGCACAGCAGTGGGAAATAGCATACACAAAATGAGCACAGACAAAACCCCATCACACAAGGACTGGATCACAGTGCAATTATTAATCCTTTCATATGTTCTTGAAATGGTCTTGGCACAATTTCCTAAAACAACTGAACTATGTCAAAGTGTAAACGTTAACCATCTTTTCTCAGATGAAAGCTCCCAAAAAGTAATTGAATTTGGTTTTCAGCAATCAAAGCCAATTTAATTTCTTTAACCATTTACAATTGTATCTGATTGCAGTGCATGGGGACTGAGTCAACACTATCTTCAGCAGTAATGCTGAAGCAATCCTTGTGCAAGTATGAACAGCTGAACAGATAAACTATGTATAGTCCTATCCCGTGTGCCCCTGAAGATAATACAACAACTGCTCTCAGGTGACAGAATGAGCACAGGCGCACATTTGTCTTGAATTGAGCACCAATATACAGCAGGATTGAGAGAAGCAATGCAGTGATCTTTCTCTCAAGGGTCCTTTGACTGAGCTCTCTGAGCTGTGCAACAATGCTATTGTATACCATCATAAACAGACTCAGCACTAACAGGGGCTGCTTTGCTGTAAAAAGCCTGATCTGCAAGTACAATTTTCCAACAGAAGAGAAGAAGGGCTTGAAGGGAAAAAGTGAATGCATCTATGAAGCAAAAAAAAACAAAACTAAACCTACATGTGAACAAAACCTTAGACCACCGTTACACTGACAGCTTCACATTTTTCCAAATATTCATCAAAAATTTTAGTCACCTTTTGCCATTGCTAGTTACACAAAATCAAAGACATGCTACTGTAGTTTACACATAGAGAATACACTATGTTGCTAGGAAACAGTACCTCATGAATACCCTGCAGTTGTTGCACAATCAAAGGAGTAATATTCTGATAGTTCAGTGACTACATAAAAGCAAAATGTTGGACGGGTGCCTCCCTACAGGGGAAAAAGAATAATAGAGAAATAAATAAATTAAATGCTGTATGTCTGAGTGAATATATAATTCTAAATAACAGAACACAGAATCACTGTTCAGTAATGGTTATTCATTACTTATAGTGTACAACACTGTAGTGAATATGTAGCTTTATCATTCATGTGTATTACTGTGTAGTCATACATATTAGAGGTGCACAGATATAAAATTTCTGGGCTGATAACACTACCTCATAACATGCCTGTGAGTTTGTTACATGAGTAACAAATAATTATTCCATTTTTTAAGGGGGGAAAGTTATGTAAATCCCTAAAACAGCTGGACATGGTAGCTTTCAGCAAATGTAAATATGTATTTGGTGCTCTAGTGATTATTTACAGTGGGATAAAATGGATCTGGCACAGAAGATACTGTATAACAGACTGTCTACACAGACACTAATACTGTTGGTCATGCATCACTAGTATGTGTGTAAATTTCACATCATGTTTTTATATTATGTATAATTGATTCCTTTTATTTTTAGGAACCATTTACATTTTAGATATAAAGAGCAAGCTAAAAGCTAAACTTTTTTTAGCGGTATTTTGCATATACTGTATGTAAAAGTATATTGATACCGGTAGGTGTAAGGGTGCCATGTTTTTTGTTTGTTTTTTTTTTTTTTTTTTTTTTTTTTTTTTTGAGTACAAAAAACACCTTTGGTGGGATTAAAGCTCTATTTTAAGATTTTATTTTTACACCATCAGCCTTGATGCAAGTTGATTACATCTTTGTTTTAGATTGTATTTACTGTACATTCAATACCTGTGTTAAGAGTTTGTTTTAACTTAGACTTCTTACTTCTTCTTCTTACTTTACTAACAAAGCTGTATCAGATTTAATTTATTTTATTAATTGCTCTGCATCAGTTGTCTGTCATTTTGATGAATATGTACTTAACTGTCATCCCCAGCAGACAAAGATGTCGGTTGTCTTATTTCCAAGCTTTTAAAGAGAACATAGTCGTTTGTCTGTGACAACAGCCTGCAATTATGTAACTGTGGAGTGCACTGCACAATGTTTCTAATTGAGCCCCAGGGAAAGACAGGAACCAGACAAAAGCTGTATGAAGACTTCCCCAGGTTAAAGAGAGACGCTCGGGTAACATGTTTCCCTCAGGGAAGGAAAACCAGGTGTGATGAGGTGGGCAAAGCCTTTACAATGAAACTAGGCCTTGCTAACAAGGAACGTGAAACACTGTGACAGCAGAATACAGAACACAGTATACTGCAGCCAGGGTCTCTCTTTTACACTGCCAATATTGCTTTCATTTGCTATGCACCATTTCACTCTCGCCTTCAAGCTTTGCCATTCTCAAGTACATTATGATGTTGTATGGTAAATATATTTCCTTTCTGTCGGGGGACTGCTTCACTTTACAGTAACTCTCTGGATCTTGATTATTCAGATAATAAATAGGAAGTGTTTGTGTCAGGGCAGAGTAAATACTACATGTCAGCAATGGCATGTCATTAATTTAATTAATATTTTATTCATTTTTGTAAATGTTTAATGCCTATATACACTATATTAATGTTTTATGGAAGCTGGATTTCTATGTCTGAACTGCCACTTCTTTTGACATAGCCGACTGAAGAGTGTAATAGATTACATATATACCATCATGAGACAGTGTGTCACAATTTTTAGCCAACTAATGTGTCATTGCTTTAGGGCTGGCAGCATCTGTCAAGCCACCTCTGGTCCTGACTGAAATATCTGAACAGCTATTGGATTTATTGCCACAGCATTCTGCACAGACATCCATGGTCTCCAGCTGTCAAAGCCTTGCCCCTTGAGACAAAATGTTTCGATATACAAATAAAATCTGACCTGAAATCCTAAGGACTTAGGTGACCCCTAGAATTTTGCTAACATGTCTGTGGAGTCTTAGTGATGCCTGTATTTTTTGGAACGGGATTCCTATTTTATAATTTGGCAAACATTCAAAGCGTAAAGTCAGATGTCCATTACAGCACATTTAATGCAGTGAGTTGCAGCTACATGAATAGTCAAATTTAATTTTCTTGGGTCATCATCACAGTGACTACATTACATAAATATGGTACAAACAGCAGACAGGTATATTATTATATGTGTGTCCATCTCTGCTTCATAAC